CCAAATTCACAACCTCAGTCTCAACCATCTCAAAATTCACAACCTCAGTCTCAACCATCTCAAAATTCACAACCTCAGTCTCAACCATCTCCAAATTCTCAACCTCAGTCTCAACCGTCTCAGAATTCACAACCTCAATCTCAACCATCTCCAAATTCTCAACCTCAGTCTCAAACTCAACCAAACCCACAATCACAATTTCAATCATCTCCACAGTCACAATCACAGCAACCAACTTCTATAAATTCAAATTCAGGCAGCAATCCCCAATCGTTTGTATCTACCACGAATGCAAATTCAGATCCACAAACAACCCTTCCAAATTTTTCTTCATCTGTGACTAATGCACCAAGGTAAATTATAAAATTATTTAATTTAATAATAAATAAATTGATTTGACTTTATTCTTCCTAATTTAATATAAATTTCTAAATTTTAAAATAAATACATGCATTTCGATTTCCTGAATTTAGTTCTGCAGATAAAAATCAACCAAAGTATATATCTGTAACATTCTTAACAAGCACTACAGCATTTCCACTTAGCCAGACCAACAGTAATAAAGATGCAGACAGCAAATCAAATTCACAATCGTCATCAACTAACATCAGTAACTCATCTAATACAAGAAGCTCACTAACTTCAGAAGCAACCAAGAGTTCAAGCGAAACTACAACAAACTCGCTAACTTCAGCAACATCCAAGAGTTCAAGCGAAACTACAAGAAGCTCGCTAACATCAGAAGCAACCAAGAGTTCCAGCGAAAATAAAAATCCTACAACGACTGGCCTACCCAATAATGGTGCTTTTCTAATTGTCGATAATTATTCTGAAGTTATATTAATGATAACTTGGGCGTTTGGGTTTGTAATAAGTATACTTTTAGCTTAGGATGATTTTTTTAATGTATTACATCCAAAGCATACGTAATTTTAGATTTTAGTTGCGCTTTTTTTTTGTTTTCTTTAAACCAGCAAAGAAAAATAATTTATTTTCAAAAATCGCAGAATTGAAACGGGTCTTCTTATGTATTTTCTGAATTTAAAGCAATGGATAATTGGCAGTAAAGAACAAAAAGAATTTTGCCCAATTAATTTTATCAAAATAAAATTTAGAACAAAAATTGAGATGCATTTGGCAACATTGGTTTTTCAATTCTAATTCCCTTTAATTGTGCTATAACTTCTGATTTCACGCATCAGGCATTACTATGTATTTTTGCGAAATAGTGCCCATGCGAATTACGGCCCGCATTAAGCTTAATTAAGACCAAAATTCGAAATTATACCCTGCGCATTATTTCGCGAAAATGCGGTAAAATAATGTTCTCATAATTCTAAGTTCAATATAAAGTGAAATTTCCGTTATTACCGTATTTGTCAAGCTAAATACTCTGGTACAACATATATTGCTAAATTCGTATTAAGGAACTCCTCACAATATTTATTCGGTATAATAATCTCACTCCTTCCAAGAAAATCCTTAACATACCTATGACTGTTCCACTCCAATGGAGAGGACACTCCCAGTTCAGTGAAACAAGTCTATAAAATTTAGTAAGGTGGACCAGATCCGATAGAACAGAACTGGTCCAGTGACCTAACTTAGCGCACCCGTGGCATAAGTTATCAGTAATATCTGTCCTAAACCCCTTTCCGATGAGCTATTATCCGAAAGCATTCTAAAATTTTTATCATTAAAACTATCAATATTAACAAAAGCTATCGATATGAGATATATATATATATATATATATATATATATATATATATAATAGTTCTGATACATTGCATTTATAATTTGCTATAAACATTGATATTGATATACCAATTTAAAAAATAAAACTGAAATTTCATTCATTTGAATTAGTAAAGAATAGCATAAACCATTTACTTTAATTCCAATCAAATATAATAAATTCTTGCGAAACTCCTTTATCTTTTAATCAGACCATAGGTTTTAATTAGAAATATGTGTGTATCCTGCTAACATTCACTTTTTAACAAATGATTTAGTGTGAACAGCCTAGTCACATCTACTAGCTTTGAAATATAAAGGAATTTATAAGGTATTCGTCAATGGAGGTATTGGGCGATATCTCGACACTTAGTGATCAGAATCTCACAAAAATACTACCATTTGATTCATCATGATTAGACGTATCGAATTGTGGTATTTTATGCGATTCTTATCACTAGATGTCGAGATATAATTTAACTGCCCATTGACCGAAATACTTTTTACTCTATATTATAATGTTTGCAAAAATACGTTTCAAATCACCCTTGATATATTTTATAATATAACGTACTCTTTGTCCATTGTATTATTAAATAATTTGTAGTAGGGAATTTTTCAAACAGAAATTGCTAGTACCCTAGCCATGTCAAAAAAGGTGTCGGGTCATTTGATTTCCGACATCACCGATCCGCTACACATTTCCCCGATATTGTAGAGCTTCACTTTAGCCAATCAAATTACAAATATTTCGAACTTAAACAAAGACTATTAACGAGTTTAGAGAAAGGATTATTTACATGTAATATTTAACTTATTAAATTTGTAATGTTAAAGCTATCGGCGGATTAAAAGAAATTATTAATCAATAAAATGTAAATAAATCACTAACTTGAGTTATACTAAAAATTTTATCGAATTATAAATGGAAATGAAAAATAACTTTGCAAATTTAAATTATTAGTTAATATAATGATCATTAACTAAACATATTAAATAAATCACACTGGATATTCTTACTATATAATAAGTAAACAATATTTAAACAGTTGTTAATCCAAACTAACATAATACTTTAGATAAAGTATTAAGATAAATATTAATTTAAATTATATCAGAAAGATTCTTATCAAGTGATATGATGCTGATTATCTTAACTTTCCAATCACATGATTTTGTTTCAATTTTTCAGATGCAATATATAATAATATAATGTATAATGCAATCAATAATGTTGCATATATTGTTTAATTATGTAATAATAATAATCAATATTATTATGATCATTATTATTATTATTATCAAGTATTATTATTATTAAGTATTATTATAATAGAATTCTATATTTTATTTATCATTAATGCAGAAGCTATTAATTATCTATTTAATAATTTATTTAATTTGCTTTATTTTCTCTTATCTTATTCATTTCCATTAGTTACTCAATATTCTCTGAAATTTAACAATATAATTTATACTTGTTAACAGTTCATTTAGCAATTTAATCCTCTAATCCTTTGTTATATATATTCATATATCTTCATAACTTGCAGATAAACTTATAAAAAAAGTTATAGATATATTATTAAAAACTTGTGAAAGCTGATTTACTAAACTTATATAGCTATAGCTATATAGTCTTTGAATTTTCTGCTTTATAAATCCTAATATTACTTTATAAAGTTATATTTATAATAGAACTTCAGATATTACTTAAAGATATATTCTACTCTGATAACTACTTTTTCTAATAATAATTATTATTCAAGAAAATTAGATTATAATAATATGATTCTTTATATATAATAGTTTAATCTTTTTGAAATAATATTAGTATATTTCTTAAAATACTTTTTATATACTAAATAAATATTTTTTATAGACCAAAGATTTCACTCTATAAGTACTTATTTAATATTCTATGATCTTTTTTTCAATTATTTCATGAGATAATTATTAGAAAAAATTATTAATTATATATACTTTTCTTCAGATTTATAATTATATTAATCATTATATATTTTAGATTATATTCTCATTTATTCTTTTTATAATTAGTATATTCTTAACTATAATATTAATAATTTATTAATTAGTTAAAACAGAAAACTTTAGTATATTCAAGATATAATGTATAAATATTAGAATTATTTTATATATAAGTTAATTTGATATATACTCTGATTTTTAATATCTATTTATTTGAATAGAATGAAAAATAAAAGCTTTCTTATCTTTAATATATAGATTTTTATAATAATTCATAATATAAATTAAAAAAAGTTGAAACTATAATAGAATATCTTATATATTTTAGATGAAAAGTATTTTCTCTCTCTTGAATTCAGATTCTTTATTACTTATCATTTATATAAAATAGTATTTGTTATATATTACTTAATTAAATTCTTTTTCTTCTGATTCAAGCTGAGATTTTAATATTATATCAGATATATTGCTATTAAAATCTTTTATATTTTTCTTATATACAAATATTCTCTCTAATTATTTCTTTCTATATGTTATCATATTTGATCACTTATATTTATCAAAATAAATATTTTTTCTTTCTTATTATACTTATATCTCTATAAATATATATATCTTTTATATATTATTTCAAAAATAATATTCTTTTTAATATAGCCAGCCTATTCTAAAAATAAAAATACTTTAATATATGTTTTCAAGTTATTTTCTTTATAAATATTTATTTAAATAATAAAAATTTAAATATATATACTGAAAAGTATAATAAACAACTTTATTTAAGACTATTTGAATACTTATTTTATTAAAATTTTTTAATAATAAGAAAACTTAAATAAATTATTATAAATAATTTAGATTATTATTTTATAAATTAATCTTAAATAAACTTATTTACTAGATTATCAAGTATATATATTTAAAATTTTATATAATTTAAATAAATATTTATTGAATAATAAATAAAAAAATATAAAAGTATTTTAAATTTTTTATAATCAATTTTTTCAAAAAAAATTTTAATAAAAAATATTATAAAAAATTTTATTAAGATAAGCTATTAAATACTTTTAAGTAAACTTTTTACTAGATTATTTAAGCATATATATTTAAAATTTTATATAAATTAAATAAATCTTTCTTAAATATAACCAAAAAAATATCCAGTTATTTTTGTTACATACTATATAATTTATATTTATATAAATATTAAGTATTATTTAAAAAATATTAAATATACTCTTTTTCATTTTGCTATAAATTAATATATTATCTAAATATATAATTATAAATTTATTTAAATAATTATAAATATTATTATTTATTAAAATTATAAAGATAATAAATATATTTATAAGATTAAACTAAGAATTTATAATAATTATAATAAATTTTAAAGATAATTTTATATATATTTTCTTTTATTATATAAATTTAATATTCTGAAAACAAATTTAGCTTTAAAAAATATTTAAATTTATAAATTTATTTATAAGTTTATTAATATAAAGTAAAGAATAATAATTCTTGATTATAATTTTATTTAAAGTTTTATAATTAATATATATATTTTTCTTATATATAAATAATACAAATATTTTAAATAATAAGATATTAGAATAAATAAAATTTTTTAATATAAAAATAGTTAATTATTTCTTAAACTTATTTATTTTAATAAAGAAAGATGATAGATTGGTTTGAATAATAATTTAAAATTAAATATAAAATTAATTTTGTAATCTATAATTTATTTTGATAATAATTCTTGCGATAAGATTTCTGAAAATATATTTTTATATTTCTTTTTAATATCTAATATTTCTAATTTCTTTTTATTATTATTAAGATATATAATAAAGAGTTTTATATTTATTAATAAATTAATAATTTATTATCAAAAGATATAGATTAAATTCTTAATTCTAACTTAACTTTTATATTAATTTGAATTTTGATAATTTTTAATTTATAAAAAATATAATAATGTTATCTCTTTAATTTATAATTGAATTAACATGAAATAATTAAGAATTATATTATATTTTTTAATTTAATATTTATATATTCATTTTATATATAATATTATTATTGTAGTAATATAAAATTTCTTAATTTCTTAATCTTTCCCTGGTTATGCAAAATTACATATTTTTATATTTTTT